TATATATATATATATATATATCAGAAGGTCACAGCCGATAAACCCCTTGAACATTCATTAAAACTATGCCACTGTTAGTAGTAATAGCATCTTCTACAGCAAGGACATTCATATATGACCTTTTCTAATTTGTCGGGGATTTTAGATATGATTTTCGACAATTTTCAGTGGGTTTTTTTAACCTTTTCTTGGCATTTATAAAATATAGTATTCAAAAGGGACTCTTGGAGTTGATTGTGTCATGTAGAAAGCGACTGTGGGAGGACTGTGCTTCATTATAATTTATTTAATAGTATATAATATATAATATTATTATTTAGTTAAATTGTGTCGTATGGTGCCAATTTTATCTCTTCAAGGAAGATTAATCAGACTAACCCAATGAATGAAATATGATCTAACCTTAAATTATCATTTTATTTTTAAATGCAGTACACATCTGGGTTATTTCTACTCAGGTCAGAGGGTTCCTTAAACCAGATACAGTTACCGTATAGTGAAAAATAAAAGTGAAGTTAGCCCACAATTTAGACGACAGGTCATGTACTGTGAGTTGAACAAAAACTATTACAACTTGATTAGTTAAGGAACTAATGAACAATAAACGAAAGAAATATACCTTAGTCAGTTTTAATTTATTGGGATCATCATTGCTATTACCACTTTTACTTTTTGTAGAAGATATCAAATCCACTTCAGACATTTTAGATTTTTGAGCTAAAAAAGAAAGAAGGAAATAAAAAGGCACTGCAAAAAATTTTGAAATCACACTTGAAAATTAAAGTTCAGTAAAGTGCGTAGCAAATTCAGGGAAAAAAATTCAGAGAGTGAGTTTGAATTTTTTTTTTTACATTCATTAATTAGCTTAAAAATTTTAACTGTTAAACTTGCAGTTAATAATATCAAGCAGGCCATTGAAATTTGATGTGCGGAAAGGGTCAATTTTATTTATGAACTTTTGAGTTTTTTCTTATTTAAAACATTAGTTTACTCGAAATTTATTGCAATTTTAAGTGGTTCAGAAATTAATTCTTATTTTCTTTTGTTTCAGTAAATATTTATCCATTAATGTAAAAAAAAATATTCTCGCGACATCTTTAAGTTAAAAGCTCAGGCTTAAATTTATTGGATTTTAATGAAGACTGATTTAAAGGTGAATTAGGCTTTTAGAAATCAAATTATTCTAACCAATTAAAGCGGAACTGTTTCAGGGCTAAAGGGAGCTTGTCAGAAATGATGTATCAAATAAAAATGATTTTCCAATCCAATATAGAATTCTTCCATCGCTTTGTTCCAAAAGGGAACATTGTCTATCAAACAAGAATTTTAAATTATATAGAATGGAATTAAAGATTAAAGACGTTAACAAGTCTTCAATTTTGCTTTAAAAGGAAGTTTAAATAAATGAGAAATTTTCATAGTTCAAATAAAACAGCAATATCAAGAAAATAAATTAGAATGCAACCTGCTGCCTTCTCAGGTTTAGAAGGTCCTGCACTACCACCAATTTCATCTCCACTCAAACTTAGCGTCGCTTTTTCTGGTCCAAGCTTTATGCTGTCGGCATCACTGGGCTTTAAGAAACAAAATTAAAGTTTTTAAGCTTTCCGATAATGTAATATTTTTGTTTTATCTCACTTGAGTCTGTAATGAATTTGAATTATATGACAAATTAGAATTAGAAGTATAAATCGTTGTCATAAAATGTGTGTGTATAAATCACATTTTTTTAAGGCAGAAGAAAGTACCATAATAATTTTGTTCACTTTTGAAAACTATGTTCAGATCATTTTGAACTAGATCACAATATTACATAAAATATTTTTCGAAAAAGAAAATGCATAAAAAGGGAATGCTTCTTAGTCTAAAGAATTTGATCAGAGAGAATATTTAAAGGCTAATCTTGTCCTTGAATATGCTTTTCGCTAATCACGATGAACAATAATTCTTTTTCACAAGTAAAGCAGAAAAAAAAGAGATGAAGATTGCCTGCAATTCAGACAAGTAGTTTACACATAATAAGTTGAAAATAAAATCTTACAACTTGATTAATAAAGCAATTAATATACTATAAACGAAACAAGCAAACCTTAGTCAAATTTAATTTATTAGGATCAACACTGCTACAGGTACTTTTATTTTTTAAAGAAGACATCAAGCCCACTTCAGATATTTCAGTGTTTTCAGCTAAAAGAAAAAGAAGAAAAGTAAAGTTTAGAAAAATGGTTATTAAATCACGCTAACTACTATTTATTTAAAATGAAGTATACATTTTTTAAAAAGATAAACAAAAAGTACCTACTTCCAACTCAATGTTTAAATTTAACCACATTTTATTATTATAAGAAAAAAAAGACTTCACAGAAATTCATAGACCATCCAAGAGATTGGTTATCTTTAGAACATATAAAAATAATTTCTCTCTATATTAACTATCTCGAAGGCTACCGCCGCTTTTTGTGTGTTATACTTAGCGTAAAATTTTGTTTTGCTGCTCGAAAAACTATTAAAGCTTAGAAACTAGAGTTTACGAAGATTTGTAAAAAAGTTCAACGAGTCTAATGAGGAGGGGGGATTTAACGTTTGATTATCAAGAAAATTTTTATCTATTGCTGTAAATAATATTATGCAGGCAATTTAACAAACCGCGGAAATGCAACTACAGAGTTGGAATTTGACTTGCGGAAAGGGTCATTTTAATTTATGAACTTAACATGAGATATATTTTAAATTTTTTTCCGGAATGTTAAATTTGTTTGAAATGTATTGTGATTTTAAGTGGTTCAGAAATTTATTTTCATTTTCTTTCTTCTAAATAATGACTAATTATTTATATAATGTAAAGAAAAATAACTTCTCTCGATATCTTTATATTAAAAACGATCTCGCACTATTTATATTGAAAGTAACAAAAAAGGTAGAAAAAGTGATTAGATTTTAGTGAAGACTGATTCAGAGGTGTTGAGAAAAGCGATTAGAACTAGGTTCTGAGAAATTCAATTATTCTAATTAATTAAAATGGGGTTCAGGGTTAAAGAGAACTTATCAGAAATGGCGTATCAAATAAAAATGACCCTCCTATCCAGTATAGAATTCTCCAATTGCTTTGTTCAAAAAGGAAACATCGTCTATCAATAAGCATTTTAAATTATGTATGAATTAATTAAAGATTAAAAATGGTAACAGGTCTTCAATTTTGCTCTAAAAGAAAGTTTAAATGAAAGAGAAATTTTCATAATTCAAATAAAATAACAGTATCAAGAAAATAAATCAGAATGCAACCTGCAGCCTTATCAGGTTTAGAAGGACCTACTCTACCACCAGTTTCATCTCCACCTGAACTTTGCATTGCTCTTTCTGGTCCAAGCTTTATGCTGTCGACATCACTAGGCTTTAAAAAACAAAATTAAAGTTTTTAAGCTTTCCGACAGTATAATATTTTTACTTTATCTCATTTGAATCTGTAATGAATTTTAATTATATGACAAATAATCATTAAATGCATTAGTCGTTAAATAAAGCAATATTAATAAAAAAATTAAAAAAAAACTATTTTTTTTAACCGTGATGAGAAGACATATTAATTAAATTTAAAATGATTTTTTTCTTTATTTATCGTCTTGTTTTAAAAATTGTATGTATAAATATTATTTCTGCTCTCAAACAGACGTAAACTTAAATCTAAAAAGATTCCCCAAAATGAAGAAGAAGAAAAAACGAAATTTGTCCACAATTTAGACAAGAACATCATGGTAGTTAAACTAAAACTATTACAATTTAAATAGTAAAATAAGTAATATACAATTGGTAAAACAAACATACCTTAGTTAGTTTTAATTTATTAGGATCAACAAGACTATAACTGCTGTTTGTAGAAGACGTCCACCCATCTTCACATGTTACCATCTTACAAGGAGCTTGAAGAGAAAGTAGCGAAATAAGGAACAGATTTAAAGTCATTTTAAGTATTATTTAATTAAAAACTTTTTTCGAAGAAAAACAAATAGGTTAAGTGCAATGACTTAATTTTGAAGAAAAAAAGACACAATCATTAACATTTACATATTTACTCCATTGATTTAAATAGTCTTATTAATAGAACACCATTGCTTTTGAAAAGATACTTACATGAAGTAAAAATATCGAGAGAAAGATTATTTTATTATTTTCTTGATTCGAAATGTAAAATAAAGCATACTTCACGGAGTTATATTTCATTAGTCTGCCCATTCCAACAATTCAGCAAGTTTTATTATTATATTTTATGAGTATTACATTATCCAACACTGTCAGAATTTTCATTCCGAAATTATGATAAAATAACCGGCAGCAGTTTGTCCACCCGATTAACCGTAAAGTTTACGGTAAAAAAACATGTTTTACCTTAACGGTTTTTAAACCATTTACCACTAGCATAGTTTCATAACCATAAAAACGAAAGTTAACTGGACATCGGAGTTAAACTTTTCGTTAGGTAATGGGCATTGGAGAGTTCAGGAAATTAGAAACTCTTCATATATTGAAAATAATAGAGGAAATGTTGTGGTGTCAACGCTGAGATTCGAACCCCAGTTCTATCAGTCATGAGACTGCCAGATTAGTCCTCTCGGCTATAATATGTACGCAGTTGAACGGAACTAAGTGTCTTTATTAGGTGAGCTTAGGTGGTGTGATAAAATCCTGGTTGTTTAATCGTATTAGCTGTGTTTGCTCACAGTTAACAGATTGATTACCATCCTATTTATGGTCATTTAACTGTTTTGTTAGAATATGGCAAAATAACTTATCAATAAATTGCTATGTAACCATTTTTCCCAAAAAATTTCTAACATTGCATGTATCGCAATAGTTTGATCAGGTGAACGGTAAATAAAGTTTGAACCCCTTACATGTTAATACTTCCTTTTTGCTATTTCGCCTTACCTCGAAAACTTTTTAAGCAAAATAAGAAATGTAAACATATAATTATAAAATTCAATTATCCAAAAAATAATTCTACGCAAAAAATAATTTGAATAATTTTTTTTTATTTCATTTAATAAGAATTGAAAAAATTTTGCATTGTGTGGTATACAAATTTTTTCATTATTTAATAAAACGTAATTTTATGTAACAAAAGACTACATTTGTACGAATTCTTGTGAAATCAAAGTTTAAGTGTACAACTTTTTTTTAAAATTTGATAACTCAGAAACTATTCTCTTGGCTTTTGTATATTTTTTCAAGCTAAATTTTCCTCTTTAAAACGAAAAAAAAAAATAATTAAAAAATCGTATGCTTTACAAGATTTCTTTAACTATTATTAAATAAAACAGTAAATAATACTAAGTATTTATTAAAAATTATTTCTGCATAGAATTTTCTTTTATAAAGAGATTTTATAATAGTGTAATTTTTTTTATTCACTTATTCGAAATATGGCGGAATACACATAAAAGTATATTTAACTTCAAGGGGTTCAAACTTTCCACTGTTCTCCTAGACCAAGTTAACTGGACCGACTGAACCTAGACTGATAGTGGGTCAATAACTCAAATCAGTCAAAAACTATAACTAAATATATGTACGATATTATGTATGAAAGATATGTATATGTCACGGCGAAAGACCGAAATCGGGGATTGTTGACTGTCACCAATGAATGTCGACAAACACCAAATACGTCGGTGAAAGATCGAATATTTCATTACATTCTTGCACATTCGGACCCTCACCGGTGTATGTCGACAATCACAGATATGCTTTGGTGAATGCCCGAAATATTTATTACATTCGATTTGATATGAATTTATTCGTGGATATAATTACATTTATTCGATATTTTAACCCTACACTGATGTTTTTTTAAGGTTAAATGCCACTGCCCGGTATACATTTGCCCGGTATACCCTACACCAGGGGTGACGAACCTTTATACACCAACGTGCCATTTTTCTAGAAAATTGTTTAATGAGGTCATAGGCGTGCCGTCAAATAATTTTGACTTCGTGATTATTGGGAAAATAATAATACTGAATACTATCAACTCAAAATTCTTTATTTACATTGAAAAAAAAAACATTTTGCAATGTCTCAGTTATACGCGTAATTCATCATCAGTGTGACTTCTGTTGCTCCAGATTAGATGACAAATAACTTATATTAGGTCGTAAGAAGTTAGTTTAAGTAGGACTGTTAATTTTTTTTGCTAGTTATTTATAATTAGATTTTTATGGTTATTAATTGTTTTTTTAGAATTAATTGTTAATTTCTTTATTAATAATTGTTTATTATTTTGTTTGTTTTATGTGAATTTTAATTTAATTGTTACATATGCTTCATAGTGTATTAACAATTCATAGTGCAATAACAATTGTGATCGGTGGCGTGCCCAAAATATTGTGTCACGTGCCATTGGTTTGCCATCCCTGCCCTACACCGATGTTTTTTTTTAAGGTTAAGTGCCACTGCCCGGTATACAGTTTCCCGGTATACCCTACACTGATGTTTTTTTAAGGTCAAGTGCCATTGCCAGTATATATTTGCCCGATATTCCAAACACTGATGTTTCTTCTAATCTATCGTCAGTAAGTATTAAAATATAGAATAAATATAAATATATCAAATAAATATAATGATATTAACGAATAAATTAATATAAAATTGGATATAACAAATATTTCGGACATTCACCAAAGCGATTATGTGATTGTTGACATTCACCGGTGAGAGTCAGAAATAAGGGTATTTAGCAAATATTTCGGACATACACCAAGCGACTACGTGAATGTTGACATTCACTGGTGAATAACGACATTCTCCAGATTTCGGTGTTTCGCCGTAACATATATTCAAATAAAGTTTTGTTAGGTGTCACACACTGTTAAAATTTTCATTCTAAATTTACGGTAAAATAACTGGCAGCTGTCTGTCCATCCGATTAACCGTAAAGTTTAGGGTAAAGAACATTTCTTTCCTTTTATGATTTTGAAACCATTTACAAAAAATATGGTTAACCATGAGTAGAAAACTAAATGGTTTTCTTAACCATTTACAACTAGCATTTTTCAAAAACGTAAAAAAAAAAAATATTTAATTAGGCATAGGAGCTCGGCTTTTCATAAGTTAATGAGCATTGGAGAGAACCGGACTCTGGAAATTCTTTATGTATACAAGGGAATGGAAGAAATATTGTGGTGTCAATACTATAACTCCAGTTCTGCCAGTCATGAGATTGACAGATTAGCTGTTAGGTTATCAGACCATTAAGATTGAGTCTTAATACGTGAAAATACGATCATTGGAAGATCAAAAATTATTTTTGGAGTTCCGTCCCCTCCCCCCGCGTTGTACGTAGCAACGTTACAAATTCCTGCATTAAACTAGAACAAACAATGAAACATAGCTAGCAAAATTCATATATAATAAGAAAATGTAAATAAAATAAATCAGAATTATGGATAAGATATGCATAGTTCAAAATGTAATGCATCAAGTAATTTTAACAAAAAGTTGCGCACCAGAATTTTTAATTCTGTCTCGGTCATGAGGTACTCTTCTTTGGAAGGGTATGCTCTGCAAATCCTCTTGTTCCTCGTATGTTTCAGGTTCAGCATCTTTTTGAGTTAGTTTGATAGCTTTAGGATTCTTTTCGTCCTTTCTAGGAAGCCAATCCACCTAAAGTGCGGAAGAATTATTTCTATACTTAATTTCATAACTCAAACAAAACTAAAAAAAAATATTATGTTAAGAATTAAAGTATTACCACCTCAATGCAGGAATGCTTAGAATCACATAAATTGAAGAAGTATGAGTTTTAAAATAACAGTTCAACCTGTATGGAAAGTCGCAATTAGACAATTAACTAAGAACTTCGAGGAATCGTTTCTCATGAGACTATTAAGTGAAAGATAGACACGGGAAAATATTGAATGCGAGTCAACATATAACTATAACGAATGATAAGTAATAAAGAAGTTATGGACTTGAAAATTAATAAATTTACAATACGTATGAGCAATTTTAAGTGAAGAAATTATGTACTTAACACTAGAAAGACGGAAAATTAGTATATACCTATATTGCCTAAAAGCAGTCAAAGTGACAGGATTGTGAATGCGTAAATAAATTTGTTTAAAATTAATTTTTAACTTTTTTTATATTATTTACAGTTATTTAACAAGTTATTAGTAAATATTTAACAATAAAAAAATTATATGTTGCACAAAATGTCACAAAATTCAAAGAAATTGTGTCATTATAGACATCATTGTTTTTCTAATTGAAATTAAAAGCAGTCAAAATGACTTCCTTAGGCAATCTAGTGTTAATGGAAAAATATTTATTGTGCAAAGAAAGTCGAGTTAATACATTTATTTTTTAAGACACTGAGAAATTTTGGTTTGAACACTTTCTTTTCTTTTCAACGCAGACAATAAATTTTCGACTTTTTCCTGCAAATCAGTGTGAATACAGAAAGTTTCTTAATGTTTCAAAGGCTCCAAAATGTTGGAACTGATTGTGATTCTGCTTCATCGGTATCATTTTGAACATCCCTGAATATATCCCTGAGGATGATGTCTCCCAGGGAAATATCCCGGAGACAACACACATACGTCACATCCTATTTTTTAGGGAAGGCGCATTCATACACCATCCATCCGAAGATAGTAGTTTTGATCTGAACCAGAGCACGATCAATCTCCGATCCAGTACTCCCAGAAGTATTTATTTGTTATGGGAACTTGGAGGGCTTTGTGTGCGACCCCAGCAAATTTAGCGAGCACCAGCCACCACTTTAAACACAGGAAATCTTCAGCCAGTAGAAATCGAACTCACGACCTCTCGGACAAGGGCTTAACGTCCTACCAGCCAAGGCTATCCCGGCCCTGTATTAATATGTTAAAATGGAAATTATCCCTAAACCACTTATTTATAACAAGATTATTTTTGAACACATAAGTAACTTTTTGCTTCTTAAAATAATTCATTTTAACTAAGTTGAATAGTTCTTGCGATTCATATAGCTCTGGATTTCAGGTCTTCCTGATTTAGAGTCTCTTATTGTATCTTTTATCTTATTTATTTATCTTATTTATTTATCTTATTTATTTTATTTATTTATCTTATTTATCTCTAAGTTTCTAGATTGTGCCATAAAAGAAGATAGTCAACATTTGTTAAACATGTCAATTGATTGTCAATACAGCATTTCTAATGTGCCACACAAATTATGGGACATATGTACATAAAGTATATTTTAACGTACCTCAAGTACACCACTCCGAGCAAAAGTCGGCAAAAACTGATAGGTAGATAGTACAGGCGTTCGCTCTAGTATGTCCAACCTATGTATGTGAGGCTATGAAATAAATAAAAAATATTAAAAAAAGAATATGCCTTAACTTTTTATAATGTAAACATCTACCTCATAACTATTACTTTGTAAACAATCCGAAACTGATGAAAGCAAAGATTTTCAAATGATATTTCTCAATGCAAATTGCGTAAATAAATTAGATTGTAGATACACTTAATATGAGAAGCTTTAAAAGCAAAAAAAAAATGAGAAGCTTAGATGCAAGGATAAAACGCTAAGTGTTTCATAATTGATATAGATTAAATTTAAATATTTACCGATGCTGATACTCTTAAAGTATACACAGAGGGGAACTTGGACAAATTACTTTCTATCGTTGTTCTAGTATAATTTGTTTTCTAATTCATTTTTCCCCACATTAAGTAAAAGCAACATATGGAGGAAAATTCTTATTAATGATAGTAAATAATGTTTTGGGGCACATACTATTTTTGTTGTATTTTAACTTCATATTAAAATAATTAAACTCATTGAAAAATGATTTAAAGCAAGCACAAGAAAAGAAAACAAAATGAAGATCACTGGGGGTGATTTGAGACAGCAGATTATTTATTAAGAGGTAAATAATATCCTGTAAATTGAAATTGAAAATAAATTATGGAATAAATCAATGGAAATATTTTAAGCATCAAACTTTATTAAAATTCAATTTCTCAGGAATTATTCTGCCAATTTCGCTCACACTTTGTATTTTGCAATGCAAAATTATATTCTTTAAAATGATTTAAAAGATTGTATACCTTACAATTCAAAATTTTTTCGGTTATTAATAAAAAAAAAACAGTAAATATTTACTAAAAGTAATTTTTTGCTTGCATTTGTCTTTGGATGAACGAATTTTGTAAAAGTTTTCAATTTGCTTAAAAAGTTTTTGAGGTATAACGAAATACTCAAAAAGTGAAATTAACATTGAGGGATCCAAAGTTTGGAGCGCGCTCCTGACCAAACTATTGGGACCATATTTCCCAGATTGCAGCAACCCCCTATATTTTAGGGATCCAAATCCGTCTCAAAAAGGTATGTTTATCCAGAGAAAATAGCATTTTGTATCTGATTTCGTAACTTAAACTATCGTCTGCACTTAGTAATTTGCATGTTTGAGGTCACCCCCTTGAACCAATAAGATTGAGTAGCGTGAAGATATGACCATTAGATCAAAAGTTATTCAGGATGGGCGCGCTGTGTATTTATTAATACATTTCAAAAGTATTCCCCATCCACTGACGTGTCTAGAAAAATATTTAATCCAAACCACATTTTTGCTACAAAAAGGAATTTTTCATGTACACATTCTTTAATATTGTTATGAAATGCCATTTTTTAATAAATGAAATGCGTGACAAATATCAGATTTGGTAAGAAAACAAACAAGGTATTTTGTAAAAGTCTACAACAGTGTATTAAGATTTTATAAGAAATAACTTTTACAGATAATACAATATAAATAACTGACTTTCATTAGAGCTAAGACTAAATTTGGTTATTTTTAAAATGGCTAAGTTATTGCCACTAAAATAAAATTCTTTTAGTTATATTTGCAAAATCAAATTTACAAACAAGTTCAAACTTTCTTTATGTTCTGGAAGCAATGTGTGTAAGTTGACTTGACCATACATTCTACTAAACTCGAAAGAAATCTAAATACAAGGTTTTTATAAATTAATGGTCTTAGATACCTAATTCAGAAAACGAAAAGTAGCTATAAGAATTAAAAATAAATAAAATGTAAATACATTCTAAATCTCCCTGAATTGTAAGAGTTCTGAAATATTTTTAAAAGTTATATATATTTTTAAAAAAACGATCACAAAATAAACCTATCAATTACATTCTGACATGTTTTGTCAATCAAGTACAGGGTGACTCAAAATGAATATAACGATTCGAATATGGGAGACGGAGAAGCCTTCCACTGTAATTGAACATGAACGTGACTCAGCGAAAGTTATGAGCTTCTGCGCTATTTCATAGTGTAAATTGCACGATCCTTTTTTCTTCTGTGAGTGTTACGTCAAATATTTATCTTGACATGCTTAAGGTAGGGATAATGACACCGCTAGATACTGATTCTACAGATTACATCTTGCAGCAAGATGGAGCCCCTTCATGCTGGGGTACAATGGTTAGCACATTTTTGAATCAACATCTTCCAAACCATTAGATCAGTCGAAGTGGAGATGCCGACGATATCTTTTGCTCTTGGTCACCAGGATCTCTGAACTTGACACACTGCAATTTCTATTTATGGGGTTATGTGAAAGACCCCATGTGCTTCCCATGCTCATAACAATTTTATTCTTATTTTATAACCGTCGTTAAACATACCTTCCCAATTTTTTGAGTTTACGGCTACTAATGCTCAACTCCGTAACCTTGAAATTTTGAACCCAATCCAGCAGACAAGGGACCTGATGGACCGAGTATTGGGAGAAATTTGCCTCACTGGAGGACTTTTTGATGGAACTAACCCGCATTTAAGTTACATGGAGAGGAAAATCACAAAAAACTCACACAGTTAGCTTGACAGCAAGGGGACTCTAACCCATGATCCGTTTACCACTGAGGCTCTATCTCCTGACCCCTCATGGCTTAACCCCAAAACAATTTTATATTTATTTTATTACTATTACCGTTGTTGAGCCAATTTTAGGGTTCACGACTACTAATGTTCAACTCGGTAGCCTTGTAATTTTGAACCCAATCCAGAAGACTCCTGGATCAAGTATTGGGATAAATTTGCCTTCTTGGAGGACTTTTTGGTGGAACTAACGCGCATTTGCGTTGCATGGAGAGGAAGATCACGAGAACCTTCCACGGTTGGCCTAGCGGCAAGGGGACTCTAACCCATGATCCGTCAAACACTGAGGATATTTCACGTCAGCACTGTGCTCGGTACTAGCTGGATGAGGAATTCATATCGAATAGCCGTCGCTGGGATTCGGACCCGGTTCACCTAATTGGAAGGTGAAGGCTCTATCCCCTGAGCCCTCACGGCCCAGTATCAACACAATTGCAGAACTGTAACAACGCATTTGTAATGTTCTTGCACCTGTGACTGCACAAATGCTTCAGCGTGTAATGGATTACTGCCTAAAGGTTGACCGTGAGGCAAAGGAGGTCACATAGAAAATCTGTATTGCATGAATACAAAATTTTGAAGTTCCTTTTACATTCTGTGTAAATTTTATCGAAAAATTTTTCTTCATTGAATAGTTGTAGCCGTTTGTAATTGCTATATTCATTTTGAATTACCCTGTATAACCATAATTAAAATGTTTCTGAGAAACAAAAGCTCATAACATCTTATTTTAGTTTATAACCACCTTATGCATAATTGCTAAAGAGATGTTCAACACTTTCAATTCGGACAATGAAAGTTAAATTCAACCCTTTACAACATATCTTATTCTTTCTCAGCATCATAATATCCATAAAAATATTATCTTTATTAAAAAAACTGAGTCTTTAAACTAATGGAAACAATGTCGAAATTATTAAAATATAACATCACTTCAAAAATAAATTCAGGTTTATTTACTTAACAAAAAATAATAAAACGACTGTCTAGACTGACTGTTTAAAACATTGCAGTAAAGAATTAGAACAATTTTGATGCTATAAAACATATTGTAATGATATTGAAATTCCCTAAAATCTCTACGCTTATGCAAGAAAAATATTAAAGGTATTTTAGTATGTACAATATACAGAATAATTACTTTGTCCTTAATGATATTTAGGTTTGGCAATTTCTGAGGTTTAACTAAGGACAGAGGCGCGCATTGTAATTGAAGAAGAAAATCCCTATCGTATTGTTTCTTTCTCTCTTTATTTACAGGTCTCCATTGATCTATAAAAAAATAAAAAACAAAAAACAAACATAGTTTATAAACAAATGATTACAAATTGCAAAGGATAATTAGTATCAAAAGAATTGCACTCACGCACGCACGCACACACCACACACACTCACACCTTCTTTGTCGTTGTATTTTAGTTTGTTTAATTGTTTTATTTTATTCTGTGCTGGAGAGATTTTCTATGTCTTCATTTTCAGTTGTAGGTGAAACTGAAGATGAATCTGTTCAACTGTTCAACTTGGGAGATATCACTCTGAGATGAATTGTCAGAGAGTATTTTCCCAGGTTGAGGAATAATAGTACTAAGTAATTCACTATCTACAATTGCAGGAGATATAGGAGACAGAGGCTGCTCACCTGCTTGACTTTGAGGGACTACTGGAGCAGTTGAAACTGTCACTGCGACAACCTCCTGAAATTAGAAGAAGTCTAGTCAAAAATGGTCAGATACTAATAAATTGAGATTCTCTACACCAAGTCTTCATGCAGACACGTTATTATCTAAATAAGTATAAGTAAAGGTATATTTTAGTACTAACTGCAAGAAAATTAAAAATGAATTAATTTATCATTTATGTTAACATGACAATCTGAAATCCTTATTCAGATGTTGCAGCATTAAATAAATAAGAAAAATATTACTTAAAAATATTATTAGTGAATCTAATATTTTTTCTTTAACAGTTTAAGTGGAACAGCTTGTATGAATAGAAAATTTTATCATGAAAAATATTTAAAAGTAAATAACTAATTTATTTTTTGTTTTTTTTTTTAAAAAAAAGGTTTGATTTAAACTTAACCCAGTGCATACCAATTTAAAAAGCACTTTAAATGTGATTAACTTAAATTCATTAGCATCTACCTTCTTTAATTTTATGAAAATTATGCTTTGTCTATTGACACAACTATTTATGCTTTAAAATTATTTTAGAAACATCCAAAATAGAGTCACATAAATTTGAATCTTTAAGGTACGCAAGTTCTACTTCTTTACCTCAAATCCACCTACGTAATTTAAATCAGGCAATGTATTACCTATTCAAAAGCCGTTACTTACTAAAATAGATATTGTAAGGATAACCCAATAATTAAGTTGATCTATTTCATTTATATTTACACCTTTAGAATTTCTTGATAATCAGCCAATATAAAAAGTTTTTTAAATGTCTAAAACTGGTACCTAAAGAATTAAACACTGCACTATCAAGCAATATATTCTTCTTAAAGCAGAAAGGGCTCAGTTCAGTACCTCTTAATGCAGTCTGATGTGCACTTAATATAATTTATTTCGTTTACGTAAGTATTTATAATTTGATATTTTATTAATTATGGTTCCTTTTTGAGATAATTTAGCTTTTGAAATCAAATTTATTCGTTGTTTAAAAAATGGTAATACTTTAACAAGTACTATTTGCTTACATTTATTTTTCAAACAGTTTTAATTACCAAGTTTTGTTGCAGAACATTAGCTGTAATCCTTCCGGGGCATGCGTTTAGATCACATAAAAATTTAAACTACAAAAAGTCATTTTGGAAAAATTAAGTCTCATAAAAATTAAAAATGTGATTAAGAAGTAGTTTCTATTATTCTACTAGCTTGTCTATTTGAATATTGTTAATTTAACAATATCAGTTGTTTGCAATGTCGTATGAATGAACAATTGTACTTACAATAAAATTAGTGCGATAAATATTTGTAGCAAAGTGATTTATCCCAATTTAAGACTAGATCCAAATAGTGAAATTTACCTCTCCCTCATCAAGGAAAGCATCCATTTCTCCACCATAATTACTTTTCTTGTTATATTCAGTCTTTTTTTTTTTACCCTTGCTGCCTCTCTTTCCTGAAAAGATAAAATCTTAAGAATTTAATAATCGCCACAGTTGAAAGAATGTTTAAATATAGAGACAAATTCAGAAGAATTGTCAGAAAATGTGTAGATACAAAGAATAAAATACTATTAATGAATGAAACAAAATGTCTAGAACAAAGTAAAAAAATGAAAAATTGACTAGCAATCAAAAGTACAATTACCATCAATAACTACCAAGTATCAAACAAAATCATGAAGTAACATCAACAAGACTCTAGCACTAGTATCTTTCTACAGGATACTTTTAATAACAAGCATACACCCTTGTGCAAATTAATTGAAACAAACTTTTTTTTTCGTGTTTTTTAAAGATGTTTTGGGGTTGTTTCGGTTACAATGGGGTTGGACCTTTGCAGCCTATTGACGGTATGATGCGCTCTGAGCAGTACATTACTATTCTGGGTAAAAAAAAGTTGTTCCAGAGTTGAAGAAACGATACCCTGATGGAACAGGAATTTTTCAACAGGATTTAGCTTCCTGCCATACGTCCAAAATTGTCAAGAAATTCATGTCTGAGAATCAGATTGAGACATTCAGGGAACTCTCCAGATATCAACCCAATTGAGAATCTCTGGGCCATATGCAAGAATAGCCTATTAAATATGGACTGTATAACTATGGAGAGGCTAATCACGGCGTTAATTCATGTGTGGTACAAGGACACAAATATTATTGAACTGTAAAAAATTAGTGGAATCCATGCCGAATCGTGTCCAAATGTTAATAAAGTGTCGTAGAGATCATATTATGTACTAAAAATTTTTGAGTTTCCATAAATTTAAATAAAATAGCATTTTCTCTTAGTTTTCTGAATTTATTGAGTTTGTTTCAATTAATTTGCACAAGGGTGTGGATGTTACTAATTTAAAACAACAGAAGCGCATTTACAAAAAAAAAATTAAATAAATAAATAAACAAAAAAGTAGATTTTTTTTTATTTGAACATGGAATAATTTTTTATTCTAATATCATGGGTGACATTCTCGAAATTTGCACAAATTATTTTCTTCGTATTTTGTTAATAATTATCCCAATAAGGAAAATTAAAAATCATGAAATCCATAGTAGTAATTGCCAAAAATTCTTTCATTACGAGATTTAGTTGTTGTAATAAATAATATCGTATAAAAAATAACCGCCTCTCTTTCCTGAAAAGATAAAATGTCAAGAATTTAACAATGGTCGCTATGGAAATGTTTAAGTATAAGTCTAAAAAATTCCGAAGAGCTGTCGGAAAATGTGTAAGTACAAAGAATAAAATACTATTAATGAATGAAAGAAATGTAGAACGAATTTGAGGAATGAAAAATTGTCTGGAAATCAAAAATACAATTACAAAATTGCGTGAATCGGACTCCTTAAATGTATGTTTCGCTTAGAGATTAGGTTGTTGTAATAAATAATATCGTATAAAAAATACCGGATTTAAAACTATGGAAAAATCAATAGCAATAACTGCCAAAAATTCCATAGAATCATTGCCTTAAAAAGTAAATACCCAAATGCATGATTCGAATTTTCCATATTGTTTGAAATAGATCGGGATATTTAAAATCAACATGAAAATCAATAACTTGCGAAAATACAATCGAAAAATAACATCGACTTACGATATTATCGGCATAAATTGAGTGCATCAAAAAGTGATTATCTAAATGCATGATTACGTGTAAATTTCTGTCGAAAAGAAAAGTAAAATGTTTTTCTTTTCAAAAGAAAACCTTTCTGCAAGAAGGATCTGCTACAAAGTTGACGTATGTGTGATTCAATCTCGGGGAATTCAATTGTAGGAAAATCTCATTGAATTCCCAAAATTAATTTGTTAGGGGAAAGGCCATGAAGTTAATTCATTACGCAAAAATGAAGGATAACTTTTGACACGTTATAGTACCACAAACTGGCTTAACATTTCTTTGGAAATATGCCTTACCTTTAGCGAGTGAAATTTTTTTTGTATATACATAAATTTTAGATAGAGATTTAATATCAAATATCGATATTCTCGATATTTAATATCATATTCTCTTTTTAAAACATACCTATATGTAAAATATACAGGCTCATAGCATCGTTATTAGAATTATTTTCACAAAAAGCACAACTTATTAAAGAGATCATGCTTATTTTCTCTCCTAAATGCTTTAAATATATTTATTCAATTCAACACTATTAAGTTAAAATACAGAAAATTATTAACTCCCAATAAATTAAAATATTGTCAATACACAAAAAGAAGGAGTAGAATTATAATATGTCAACATAACTACAATCAAGAAATTAGACTTACGTGCTCTAATATAAATCTTAAAAACTTGATTATCTTTATAAAATAGTCTTATTTTCTTGTTTAAAACGTTCTATGAATCAATATCATATGAAATTTCAATATATTTTTCAAATCGAAAAATACACTTCGAAGTGTTATTTAACTCTGATATAAAGAACGTAAATATTTACTTTAAATATGCTTCAAACTTAACTGCACTCTTTAACATCAGTTGAATAAATTATTTCTAAATAACTAGAATTTGGGTTTTATTATTATAAATCCTTTCTTACTCCACCTTCTCCAAGTTTTAATTTTTATTTTTGAAGTAGGATATTTTTATAAATAAAACTAATTAATTTAGTAAGTTATCTATTTTCAAATTAACTATCTAATAAATTCCATAATATATAAACTAACTGAATTTAATTTTTTTCAGCCATGACAAAAATGAATACTGAATACTATCTGTTTAAAATATTCATGATACATTACTCAATTACTCATTGAAAACATGTCTTTCTAACATATTCACTTGGGTCACAAATTAAAAGGATCAAATGAAAGATATTTATCTATAACCAGGTAAAGAAAATACTAGAATCACGTTTTTCATACTCACATTTATTATAAATCAAAATTGAAAACATTAAGCAACGATATACTATTTAAGTATTTATACAGACAATAGACAACAAAATTACAGATTTTTCTTTAAAAAGATTTTTTTTAAAATTTGAAAAAAAAAACTTGCATTAAAAAAAAAGTTGGGTTTGAACTGATTAAATTTTGTTTATAATGATATTAAATATTACAGAAAAAATTTCTATAAATATCTTTTAAATCTGATAGAATTACCTAGAAACATGCAAAAATACATTTTTATTAACATATTACAGCTGATCATGATACATTTTACTGAGGAGACACATTACATAACCAATCAAAATTCCAGATCTTACTAAAATATTTTATTTGTGATTAAATAAGAAAATTGTTAAACAAAATAAGTGTAAATCAGCAATTTCACTAGCAAAAATACAAAATATTTAAAAATAATTAAAATAGTTTATTACTAACATTTTACGTCAAAAATAATAAATAATTAACAATGGCAATTAACATTATAATTGCAACCGATCACGATACGGAAATCTCCCGATCATATTACCTAATAAAATTTTCTTCAAAAGATTTGTTTCTAAATGGTAGAGTTTAATAATTTACTTATTTATTTATTTTTAAATTAGCCTTAAAAAGCTGAAACAAAAATAAATTTTAATAAAATAGTTTTCTAAATTAAAAGTGGGGATTACTGGATATGCGTTGTTGTGCAAGCAGCTTTTGAACGAAAACATTATTTTGAAAAATAATAAAGCATAACAATTCTTTTAGCAGGCATTGCTTTGTCGGGCCATAACTTTAAATTTTGATAACAGTGGCCCCCACATGGTTATGAAACAACATCGGATACGCTTACACTTTTTTGTGGTCTAATTATATTATTTTAAAACAACATCAGAACGAGAAAGCTATTGAAAATAATTAAGCAACGCATTTAAAGTACACATTTAGTATTTCATGCACGTGCAAAAATAAAAAAAACATCTTGACACAAATAATGAAATGGATCAAATCACGAATAAATTTCATACCTTTGCCATTATACACCGGCCATCGAACTTCAACAGGCGGCATTTGATCAATGGTTTTAGGATTGTTTTCGTCCATTCTAGGAAATCGATCTTTCTAAAGTGCGGAAGAATTATTTCTATACTCAATTTTATAACTCAAACAAAACTGAAAAAAAAGTAGTATGTAAAGAACTAAAGTATTACAACCTCGATGCAAGAGTGCTTAGAACCAAATTTAAGCCGTGTATGGGATTGAAAATAACAATTGAACATGTATGCAAAGTTGCAATAATTAACAGTAGAACTTCGCGGGATCGTTTCTCATGGGACCATTAAGTGAACGATAGATACGGGAAAATATTGAATACGAGTGAACATATAACTACAACGAATGATAAGTAATAAAGAAGTTATGGACTTAAAAATTAATAAATTTACGATACGTAGTAAAGAAATCATGTTCTTAATGGAAAAATATTTATTGTGCAAAAGAAAGACAAGTAAACACATTTATTTATATAAAATGTGGAGAAATTTTAGTTTGAACACTTTCTTTTCTTTTCAACACAAAAATAAATTTTCGACTTTTTTCTAAGTGTGAATACAGAAAGTTTCTGAATCTTTCAAGGGTTCCAAATATCGGTATCATTTTGCTCATCTTCAGTTTCTGCTACCATTTTCTCAACTGACATCAACACAACTTTTCTCAACTCAAGTTTCTGCATCAACTGAAGAATTAGAGATCAGACGTGATGTTTGAGGTGTTTCCCCCAAAATGTAATAAATCCACCAAGAGTAAATATTTTTCTTCTCAAAAAGTAGAACGAAATAAGTCTTGCGTCGGTGAAATTTTTTACGATAGGCGGGGAAACTGAAATTTAGTTTAAAACAATCAAACAAAAGGTGCGTTTGAATTACGGATTTAAAAGGTGATTATAAATAAATGGTGTTTAAAACATTGAAAATACATACATTGATTACACTTCATGTGTTTATTATAGGAATTCAAATGTAAGCATTTAAGCAGTTTTTAATATTTCAGTATTCCCTAATTTTGTAAAAGTTGGCATATTTTTACAAAAAGTTACAATTAACGAATTTACCAAATATATTGTTCTTAGTCTGGCATGATTTGGCTATTTAAAACTTTACAGAATAGGATACACACAAATTTGATGATGTTTAAAAATATAATGCAATGATATTGCGATTCTTTCTCTAAAATTCATGCCCTCACACAACAAAAATATTTCAGATACTTTAGTTGAAAAATAACACTAGAACAAAACAAAATAAACAATATACTTTGTCTTTAATGGCATCTAGGTTTGGCAAGTTCTGGGGTTTTGCTAAGGACGATGGCTGGCATTGTAATTGAAGAAGAAAATCCCTATCATATCGTTTATTTCCCTCTTTATTTACAGGCCTCCATCGATCTATAATGAAACACATGGTTTATAAACATATGATTTCAAATTGCAAAGGATAATTAGCATCGAAAGAATCACACACACACACACCTCCTTTGTAGCTATATTTTAGTTTGTTTGATTGTTTAGTTTCATTCTGTACTGGATCATCTACATTTTCTTTGTCTTCATTATCAGTTGTAGGGGAAACTGAAGATGAATCACTCTGCTGTTCAACTCGGGAGATATCACTTTGAGATGAATTGTCAGGGAGTATTTCCCAAGGTTGAGGAATAGTAGTACTAAGTAATTCACTATCTACAATTGCAGTAGTTATAGGAGACAGAGGCTGCTCACCTGCTTGACTTTGAGGGACTTTTGGATCAGTTGAAACTGACACTGCGACAACCTCCTGAAATTAGAAGAAGTCTAGTCAAAAATAGTCAGACACTAATAAATAGAGATTCATCAAGTCTTTATCATGCGTTGAAAATCATGCGTATCGTATTGCTGAGGTAAAATAACCTACAGAGAAAATCTAAAAACTAATTTTTTCAAAACACCTAAAATGAGTTACTTTTAGAATCTTTAACGTAAGTAGTTTGTAGTAATTTTGTTTCAAGTTTATTATTAGCTCCTCAAGTTCTTCTTTAAAATCAGGCAATGTATAATTTTTCTCAAAAAGGTACTGAGACAAATTTTGTAAGGATACCCCAATAATTAAGTTGGTCAATTTTGTTTATCTCTATTAAACCTCCACCATTTCTTATGATATTCAGCAAAATAATAATAATAACAACCTTTAGGGTGCTTAACAAATCTTAGGATAGAACACAATATTGTAAAGCAATACATGCTCTTAGCTTAAGTTTCTCCCTGTATGTATTAAGAAAATGATTATCAAGAACATATTTAATTAGACCTATTATAGAACACAATATTGTAAAGCAATACATGCTCTTAGCCTAAGTTTCTCCCTGTATGTATTAAGAAAATGATTATCAAGAACATATTTAATTAGACCTATTTGCATTACAAACTTACATTTATTAACCCCTAAAAATGATATTTTACCTACTTCATTGAATTTATAAGTACGATTTATTTGTTCCATTCATTTAAAAAATTATCTTGCCCAAGCAATATTTATATTCGACATGAATATAAATATTGGGAAGATACATTTTGCTGAATATAATCCAGTAGGGATTTTACAGAATAAATAAATTGCTTATTAGAATATACAAATAGAAGAATAATTTATCTTTTCTATAAGTTATGCTTAAGCAAGTTACTTTTTCATATAGAAAATGGACATAAATGTATGCAGTGCATCTGCTACATTTTAGATTTTCAAATTCATGACTTTCCATGACTAATTCCAAGCATTTTCATGACTTAACGAAGTTGCTATTTTCTCCGACAAAAACACAACAATAAAATTTAAAAAATATTATTATAACATTAATTGAAATGATAGGTATAACCAAAACTGCTATATTCTGCATCTTCATAGTTATAGATTTTAAAGTTGAAAAGCAGAGTAAAGAAAGATTTGAAGCAATAAAATAGCTGAAAAAAATACAAAAGCAAATAATTTTTTTCTTCTTTTTTTCTTGCAGAATTATATTCTAGAGATACTTTTCTTGTTCATCGGAAAGGAAAGAAATACTCCTGATTCTTCTGAATAAAAAAAAATTCGCCAATGACTGACTTGCTTCAGCTAGAATTTGAAATTAATAAAATAAAAAAAATAAATAATAGCAAAAATTCTGAAATCACAGAAGTTTAGAAGATAATTCCCTCTAGAAATTTGTGAAAAAACACCATAATTTTTAAAGAACATGATAAACATTTTATATTTTAATAAAATATGACTGTGAGTGGGGATTTTGTTTCAAATTCAGATATTCGGAACACCATAAAATAGGGGGAGGAAGGTAAATTCCATTTCAGAAATTAGATTTTTCGGCGACTTAAATCCATGATTTTTTTTGTTGAAAATCATGACTTTTCATGACAAATTTTGTTCAGTAACGAAATTCATGATTTCTCATGACTTTCCAGGTGCGCAGATACCCTATGTGTGATAGCATTATTTATCAAAAAAAATTATAAGTTAAAAAAAGTCATTAAATAAAATCTATTATTTAATAAAAATATAAGACGTAATATAAAATGTGGACGCAGGCAAACTAAATATCATTTATTAGATAATGCGCTTATCATATCTTATGGCTTTGACTTTTGGGATCGAAACATTTATATTTTTTACAAAACATTCTGAAGTCATTCATGAATAGAAAATTGTGATAACAGGGTAAATTTCAGTAGGGTTGACAGTTATTATAAAGAATCGCAATTACCTGAGAGTAAAAAATACATTACATCATGACTCTCCCAGATATTATTTTCCAATTAACTCATACAAAATTTAAAAAATTTATATTTTGATATCGTATTTCATGACTTACCCTTTTTAAATTTGTTGCTTCTTGCAACTTTAATCTGACCTTAGAATTGTTAAAATGTTTGTCTAATATTTTCTGCATTTGTGTAAAATAACCTTCCATCTGGAAAAAAGAGAGACTGTCAAAATATGGCAAAAATATTAAGACAAAAAGTTGAGTTTTTTTTTCTTTAAAAAAAAAAAGACATTCTTAAAATCCATCATATTTATATTTATATCTAATTCTGCAAATCAAAAATGCAGTTTTGAAATTCATTTATCCAAAATATTTTAAGCAAACAAAAATTTCTTATTATTATCAAGCCCTGGTATTTCAAGCCATCGTGATTACTGGTAATCATAAAGTAAGATTGCAAGAAATCGTAACTACAAGTTATCATAATCTGACAACTACAGGTAATCTTAAATTCAAGTAATTGTGATGAATATGATTACGAGTAGATGTAATCATAATTTCAAGTGGGCTTGATTGCATCGCAATACAGATTGTAGGTAATTGAATACTTTTAAAACAATGCATAAATTGTATATGTAAATGAATTGTTTAGTTTACTATTGTTTGATTTATTAAATGAAAACTTTTAAACATAGAATTACATACGAAAATACACAAATAAGATGATATTGTGATTACTTCTAATCACAATAAGAAACGATTACGAGTGATTATGATTGAGTAATCAAAATATGTGGTGGTGGTACTTATTCCTCTTGGCCCAGAACAAAGCTAGACCAAGTCCAGGAGACCGTTCACCGACAGAAAATCAAACACCATCTGCGGATCCTCCAAAATAAAATTTTTCTCCAGTCCCATACAGGTCAGCAAATGATCAGGTGAAGCCTGGTGAGTACTACATTTCAGGCATGCAGGAAACGACTTTTGACCCTGAACAATTGTTAGTCCGCGGGTATGACCAGTGATTAGTCTTGTGATAGCTGTCTGTAGTTTCCTATCACCTTTTAGCTCTAGGGCAGCCCCAGGACTATTTTGTTGATACCATTCACGACTAGGTGGAATCCTCCAAGTCCTATTATTGTTGGCCTTTACTTTTGCATAGATTTCATTGTATGTTAGAAGGCCACTACTATCTATGGGATCATTGGAGCCTTCATCGGCCAGATCATTAAAGTGAAGGTTCACGTGGGAGGGGATCCACTGAAGATGTATATCATTGTGATAAGAGTAAGTCATCAAATAGTCGATGATATTTAGGCCAATTCTGTCACTGATGTTTTGTAAATTACTCAGGTATTGGACTGAGCTCTTACTATTTGTGAAAATTCAGATATTCTCTATACTCTCAATGGAAATCATGTGTTCTAGAGCCGCGTTTATGGTGATTAGTTCTGATCTGAAAACTGAACAATGGTTTGAGTTTAGCCTTTTAATTTTTGTAACGTCATCTTGGTTTTTTATGACAACACCACTACCAGTGTTGCCATTATCAAATTTACTTCCATCCGTGAAAATATGTACTGCTTCATTTGGGGTGTTGTGGATTGTCTCCAGTGCCAACTGTCTAAGAAGTGCTGGATGTTGATTTTTCTTATTACTGGAGGCCAAAAGTTCCTCGTGAAAGAAAACCCTCGGAAGGTCTCTCAGTGGGTCTATATTTGGTTCTATCGAGCAGTGTTCTATGTCAGGGAACAACAGATTCAGTTTACCTGCCCTGCAAAGGGGACTGTCTCTTTTTAATCTCTGGACATCTGTCCAATTCATCAAGTAGGTAGAAGTACAATGTTGGTCTCCATAGCTGTATAGCTTGCTGTAATATTTTGCGGTGCTAGAAGTCCATGTCATAAACAATGGTTGGAGATTAGCCTCGTATAGGACAATCTCATTAGGACAGCTATTACGTAAGCCTGTAATGATCCGTGCAGCACTCAGCTGTATCCTTTCAAGCATTTTTAAATTACCAGCAGAAGCTGTCAGTAAAATCTGGAATCCATATTCCAGCATTGGTCTGATAAAGGAAGTGTAAGTTGTCCTTAGGGTATTGGCATCTGCTCCCCAGTCGCGTCCAGAAATATATTTCAAGATGTTAAGTCTCTTTCTTGCCCTCTCCACCTGATTGGCGATATGTCTGTTGAAGGTAATCTCGGGGTCAAGTGTAAAACCCAAGTATTTTGGATATTTTTCATACTTAAGAACATGACCATCTAGAACAATCTTAGGTTGGTAATTATAGAGACGTTTGTTTGTGGTAAAGAAACTCACTACCGATTTCTTTGGATTAAAGTTGAGTTTGTGAAGACCAGCAAAACGCTGTATTCCCTTTAATGAGTTATTTAGTTCAGATTCAATTGCATCTATGTTCCTGCCAGAACTCCAAATAATAATATCATCTGCAAATATACCAATTTCACAACCCTGTGATTACATGATGTTATTACAAGCAATCGCGATTGCAAGTAATTGCGAGTACATGTAATTAAAATATACGATTATAAATAATTACGATTGCATACTATATGCTTATTTAGTTTGTACGTACTATGTATATATGTTTGGACGTGTTAACATATTTTTCTGAACGTAGAATGAGCGTACGTATACAATTTACAAATTATTAATACAATTTATTAATGAACGATTAATGCATGTAAGTTCGTACATATGTAGACGCACATATGTATATGTAGCATACGTGCAATCACTCATACATAGATATATTTTAAACTCAATATTTGTACGTACACATGTGCATGTATGTAAATACGTATGCACATAACATAAATGTATGACTGTATATNTCAATATATCTGTGGGTGCTTGACTAGCTTTTTCAGTAGGATAACTCAGATTTAAGATAGGTTATCTTTTTAAGCTTCAAACTTACTGTTAGTAACAAGAATAATTTTCCTCATTTTTTATGACAAATAAAAGCACTGTTCAAAATGAAAACAAAGAACACTTACACTTTATTTCGAACGTTTGACTTTTTGATCGTCTAGTTCATTACCTACCGTTTTTAGTAAGTTACTATATATATATATATCTAGCACCGTGTGTGCGTGCGTGTGTGTGTGTGTGCGTATACATATATACATATTTCTGCATTCTGCATTCTTCGTGTATTGTATGTTCATATGTATGTACGCACATATCTATGTACATCATCAAAACATGTGTATGTAATGTATGAGTGAATGTATGTATGTAGAAAATTTTTTGTATAATTTTGCATTAAACGTATATATATACAATGTATGCATGTACGTTAGTACATATAATGTATAAATGTGTGCATGTACAAGAAATAAATGTATTTACAATGTATGTACATACATTATGTGTATGTAAGTCAAATTCTTTACCCATCTTGACCTATATCAAGATGTCTTTGTCTATAACGATATGTAAAACAACGTTTGCTCTTAAATATCTTATTTTAGGAATTTAACCATAAAACTAAGACAAGTGTGGATGTTTATTTTTATGTTATTTTAACTTACTCCAGCACAAGTTCATTTTAAGTATTTATTCTAGTATCTATAAAACTCAATTTCTTATCGTTTTCAAAAGCAAACGATAGTCTTATTTTAAATTCCCAAATATAATTTTAACTTAAATTAAACGCTTTTTTGTCATGTAAACATTTCCCTGAACTATGCATTATATTATATGAAAGTAAATACCCTCAAAAATTTTTAAAAATACTTGAAAAGGATTTTTTATTCAAATATTTTTAAAATGATATGAAACAATTATAATTTAGGTACACAATGTATGCATGTCGAATGCATGTACAATATATTTATATGTACCGAGTGCATGTATATTTGTATATACATACATATATTTGTATTTTGTGCTTACGTGAATACATACATTGAAAATAGTTATCACGATTGCAAGTAATTGATTACATAGCTGTAATTGCCTGTAAATGATTCCTGTAATCGACTACAAACTCTTTTATGTACGTCTGTATATATATGGGGGTACGTTGTGTAAGCTAACTAGCGTATGTAAATTGCTATTACATAGCGCATACGCAAGTATATTGTATGAACATGCATGTTTTACATGTACACATATACGTATGCATTTGTAAGTACGTATGTACATTTTTACATGCACACCTATACATTTAATGTGTATACGTACATTATGTACCTACGTACTCTATGTGAAACTGTGCACACATACGGAAGTTTGCTTGCATATTTCGTGTGCATACATGCATACTAACATACATTGTGTGTCCTACGTATGTATGTATCTACACTTGAACATACGGTAAGTACGGATATACAATGTATGTAACATTCAACATTTTTTACTTATTCATGCAAGTATTTATGTACAGTGCTCGCTCGTGTATAGATACGCATAAACATACAACGTAGTTGAGTGCTCATGCATGTACAACATATTTATGTATTCGCGCAGTAACTATTTTTACAATTATTCCTGAGATTATGATTGCTGGTAAAAATAACATCTTATAATCGTACATATTGATTACATTGATTGTTTAAAATAAAATATTACAGTCACTTGTAACCATATGCCAGTTATCGCATCTTGTTGTGATTACAGGTAATCATAATAACTTTTTATCTGAAATCGTTACTCGTAACTTATATAAATAATTACTAGTAGTTTATTATCATATACTTTCTATTTGTAGTTGTCACAATCGTAGTCAATTAGAGTATTCCGTGCCCATTTTTTGTTGAGCACTGAAATTATTTAGTTATTCTTGACTAATGAATAAAGAATAATGATAGAAAATAATGAATAATTTATTCATTATTCTGAATGACAAATGCTCATCTCTGTATGTATAAAAAAAATGTTTCCATATCGATGACTGACTTTAACATATAAATCCTCAAAGATAATGAAGTCAAAAAAGTGTATACATTAATAAATGAAACAATAACGTTTGCCAAAATCTAACAAATCAATATAATGAACTAAACTAAATTGACTTCTAAATCACTTCAAGTTATCTGGCTATAAAACTGGTTTTGTTGCATTTTTATTCTGCCAATAGTTATTTAACATATTTCAACATCGTATATGTTTTTTCTTCACTGAAATATAAACTTGAAAATTTTTAATAGCTTGTACACTCTTTTGATTAGGTATTT